GAAAAATTTTATTTTCAGGAGCCCAGAGAGGGTCACTCAGAGTGGATTTCGAAGCCCATCATGTTAGTTATCTCTTGCTGAGTAACAAATTCAAAATTTAGCCATTTATAACAATAAATGCTTATTATCACGGTTTCTGTGGGTCAGGAATTTGGGAGCGGCTTCGCAGGGTGGTTCTGATTCAGGGTCTCCCCTGAGGTTGCTGTCAGCTGGGCTACAAGGTCTGATTCCCACGTGGTTCCCTCACAGGGCTGGCAGGTTGGTGCTGGCCAGTGGCTGGAGGCCTCAGTTTGTCACTACATGGACCCCTTCACAGGGCTGTTTGAATGTCCAGCACGGCAGCCGGCTTCCTCCCCCAGAGCCTTGGAAGTCCCACTCCGTCAATTCCACAGTGTCCTGCTGGTTACACAGGTCAGCCCTGTTCAGTCTGAGAAGTCTCCCCAGAGACATGAATACCAGGAGGTGAGAACATGGGGCCTTCTTAGAGGAGAACCTCCTCACCCACTTTCTGCTTGTGGAGCGGAAATTCTGGAGATTTGTTGGACATAATGTGATTGGGCCTTGGGGTCCCCCAGGGCGAGGTTGGAGCAGGATTTTCCAGGCCAGGGGTCTGTCTATTCCTGGAGGGCTTTGCAAGGATGGCTGGGCCCCAGGCCTGGTTCCACCTCGCCTGGAACCTTCCCTCCAGACCAGTGCTGTGCGGCCTCTGGATCCACCTCAGGGCCTGTGAGCAGTGTGGAGGTCCTGGCAGGGCGGGGCCCAGGCAGCCGCTGGGCTTCCTTGCACCCTCTGTCACATGCCACTGCGGCCCTGACTTGTCACAGAGCCTAGTGCATGTGACTTTGCTTGTCAGCTGTGCTGTGTGCCATTGTCAGGGCCTAATCGTAGTCCTGGCAGACCAGGTGGCTCTGATCTGGCTTCCCCCAGTGCTCCCAGCTGACACCCTTCTCACCTGCCCTGTGATTCAGGCTCAAGGTTGGGTGGGCCACAGACCCACCTGTCCAGAGACAGGTCCAGAGACCGCCTGTGCCCCACCCCAATAGGGCCAGTGTGGGAACAACCACCTTTTTAAAGCCTTTGCACATTAAAATCCACTGATGCTCTCAGTGCGGTAGACGGGACTGAGTGCAAATCCCAGGTGATTTTGGAAGGGCCCAGGTGCTTCCCTGCATCACACTTAGTCTTTTTATTCTGATAAGTGCACCACGAGTGGTTCGTGTTCAGTGAAAAGATCTAACATGGAGCAGAATGTCTGGGCTTTTGTCCATGCCGCACCTGCTAGAGCACAGGCTCAGTAGTTGTGGTGCACGGGCTTAGTTGCTCCACGGCATGTGGGATCTTCCCAGACCAGAGCTTGAACGCGTGTCCCCTGCATTGGCAGGCGGATACTTAACGACTGCGCCACCAGGGAAGTCCCCCTCCAGTCTTTTAAAAATAATTTTTCTTGTTTTAAAGCAGTACACGTTAGGGAATTCCCTGTGGTCCAGTGGTTAGGACTCTGCCCTTTCACTGCCAAGAGTGCGTGTTTGATTCCTGGTCCAGGAACTAAGATCCCACAAACCTCGAGGTGTGGCCAAACATGGAAAAAAAAAAAAAGGCAATCCACATTAATTTAGAAAAGAAACACTTAAAGCCTCCCCCCAAAAAACCTAGCCCCCCCCCCCAAAAAAAAAACCCTCATCCGTTGCCTCTTAATCCGGAGGTTTCCGTTTGTAGCATTTATACCTCTGAAGTTATTAAAGCTTAAAGCTACACTAAGACGTGCAGGCCTCCTGTGTATCGTCAGGTTGTGGGCAGAGCTGTGGAGGAGAATAAAGCAGGGAAGGGGGCTGGGAATGGGGGGTCAGCAGGCAGGGTGGGAGGGCGGAAGTTGCAAATTTTAAAAAGAATGATCAGAAGAGGCCTTGTTGAGGAGGACACATGAGGTCTAAGGATCAAGGCAGACTCTTGGGGAAGAACTTCATAAGCAGAGGAAACAGCAAGTACAGAGACCCTGGGGTTATGGACAGGGTTGGCAGGGTCCGCCGCAAGCCATGGGGATGAGTCTGGGACTTGTTTTGGTGTGATTAGGGAGGCATCAGAAGGCCCCTCATTATGCGCACTGGGATGTGGGAAACAGCCTTTGGGCCTGTGGAAGTGGGGAGACCGGGGAGTGGATTGCAGGACTCCAACAGTAGATGGTGGTGGTGTTGAGCAGCGTGGTGGCCACAGAAAAATTTTATTTTCAGGAGCCCAGAGAGGGTCACTCAGAGTGGATTTCGAAGCCCATCATGTTAGTTATCTCTTGCTGAGTAACAAATTCAAAATTTAGCCATTTATAACAATAAATGCTTATTATCACGGTTTCTGTGGGTCAGGAATTTGGGAGCGGCTTCGCAGGGTGGTTCTGATTCAGGGTCTCCCCTGAGGTTGCTGTCAGCTGGGCTACAAGGTCTGATTCCCACGTGGTTCCCTCACAGGGCTGGCAGGTTGGTGCTGGCCAGTGGCTGGAGGCCTCAGTTTGTCACTACATGGACCCCTTCACAGGGCTGTTTGAATGTCCAGCACGGCAGCCGGCTTCCTCCCCCAGAGCCTTGGAAGTCCCACTCCGTCAATTCCACAGTGTCCTGCTGGTTACACAGGTCAGCCCTGTTCAGTCTGAGAAGTCTCCCCAGAGACATGAATACCAGGAGGTGAGAACATGGGGCCTTCTTAGAGGAGAACCTCCTCACCCACTTTCTGCTTGTGGAGCGGAAATTCTGGAGATTTGTTGGACATAATGTGATTGGGCCTTGGGGTCCCCCAGGGCGAGGTTGGAGCAGGATTTTCCAGGCCAGGGGTCTGTCTATTCCTGGAGGGCTTTGCAAGGATGGCTGGGCCCCAGGCCTGGTTCCACCTCGCCTGGAACCTTCCCTCCAGACCAGTGCTGTGCGGCCTCTGGATCCACCTCAGGGCCTGTGAGCAGTGTGGAGGTCCTGGCAGGGCGGGGCCCAGGCAGCCGCTGGGCTTCCTTGCACCCTCTGTCACATGCCACTGCGGCCCTGACTTGTCACAGAGCCTAGTGCATGTGACTTTGCTTGTCAGCTGTGCTGTGTGCCATTGTCAGGGCCTAATCGTAGTCCTGGCAGACCAGGTGGCTCTGATCTGGCTTCCCCCAGTGCTCCCAGCTGACACCCTTCTCACCTGCCCTGTGATTCAGGCTCAAGGTTGGGTGGGCCACAGACCCACCTGTCCAGAGACAGGTCCAGAGACCGCCTGTGCCCCACCCCAATAGGGCCAGTGTGGGAACAACCACCTTTTTAAAGCCTTTGCACATTAAAATCCACTGATGCTCTCAGTGCGGTAGACGGGACTGAGTGCAAATCCCAGGTGATTTTGGAAGGGCCCAGGTGCTTCCCTGCATCACACTTAGTCTTTTTATTCTGATAAGTGCACCACGAGTGGTTCGTGTTCAGTGAAAAGATCTAACATGGAGCAGAATGTCTGGGCTTTTGTCCATGCCGCACCTGGTCCCGACTGACTTCTCAGCAGCTTTTTGGGTGCGTCCTTTTGACCATTCTCTGTGTACTCACAACTTGCGTCATGCACGCCTAAGTGTGCAGTTACCTCTCAAAAGGGGTTTTGGAATGCATCCAACAAATATTCCGTGACCATCTTTCTGTGTCAGTATCCAGGTCTGTTTGACCCTCTTTAGCAGCTATTATATGGTGTTCCATAAAATCAGGAGTATTGTATTTGTTTAACTAGTCACCACTTTATTCTTTTTCTCTCACTGCAGTTGGCTCTGTCTGGTTCCTGGTCCACACGTGGGTTGGGGTTATGCCCTGGCCTGATATGTCCTGGCTATGTTCCCTTCAGTCAAGAGCCACCAGGCTGTACTCCTGGTTCTGGGCCTCCCGGCCTAGGCAGCCAAGGCTGTGTCCCGCGTAACTGGGGTTGTGGTTCTCAGGAAGGACACACAGATCCATGCACGGCGCCCACCAAAGCTCAAGGGCCCCAGAATTCCCTCTGGTCCACAAAATTCACAGGGCCCTCTGGTTACCTGGCCTTTCTCTGTGCCAGAGAGAAACGGGGGACAGTGGGCAAGTATCAGATCAGGAAGCTTGGGGGAGGCGGTACTTCTGGTGTTTCCCCAGCAAGGCTGTGAGCTCAGTTCTTTGAAGCTGACCCATGTCCGATGCCTTGTAGCCATCTATTTTTACAAGAAATGTGAATTTAGTGCCTAAGTGTGCCAGGGACGTATAGCCTCAGTCTTCATGGAGGGGAGTCAGATAGAAATGAAATAACTCAGGTCCACACAGTTTTAAACTGTGGTCAGCACTGAGGTGAAAAAGTTCTCAGGGCTCGGATTTGGGGTGGGGAGGCTGATTTAGTCTGGGGGTCAGAGAAAGTGTATTCGTTTCCTATGGCCACTGTAACGAAGTGCCACAACTGGGTGATTTAAAACAACAGAATTTATTCTCACAGTTCTGGAGGCCAGAAGTCCAGAATCTAGGTGTCCACAGGGTTGGTTCCTTCTGAGGCCTCTAGGGGAGGCTCCTTCCCACCTCTCCCAGCTTCTGGAGGCTCGAGGCACTCCTTAATTGTAGCCGCGTCACTGCCATCTCTGCCTCTGTTGTCAGACAGCTTTCTTCCCTTTGTGTGTGTCTGTGTCCACATCTCCCTCTTTCTCTTATGGAGACACCAGTCACTGGGTTTAGGGGCCCCCATCCAGTCTGACTCCTGTTAACTGGATTCCATCTGCAAAGTACCTGTTTCCATACAAGGTCACAGGTGCCAGGAGTGAGGACTGAGACATGTCCTTGTAGGGGATACAGTTCAACCTGCTGCAGAAGGAAGTGATATTGGAGCGGGGGTCTAGATGAGTCCAGGAGTGGGGAGGAGAGGCCCCGGGCCAGGTGGAGGGGCTGGGGCTGTGTCTGGAGCTGGCCTTTCTCAGGCTGAGCTTCTTGGCCATTAGATGCTCCCATTGGGCTGTATTGAGCCTCATCGTCTACAGTTGTGTTTCCTTTTTTAACCAGGAAACTACTTTGCCTCCCACTTTTTCATGGGAGGTGAGAAATTCGACACCCCCCACCCTGAAGGTTACCTCTTTGGAGAGAACATGGATCTGAACTTCCTGGGCAATCGCCCAGTCCAGGTGGGTCTCGGTGGGGCTGGGCACATGGGCAGTGGTGGCAAGGCCACTGGCTGTGAGCAGGCACCGAGTCTCCCCAAACGGGGCAGAGGTGCCATCTGGACGTGTGCATGTGATGTGTGTGTGAGACCTGTCCCCCCTTAGAGGCTGGATGGCCGAGGGTTGGTCCCTGGGGTACAGAGCAGCTGCTACTGAACCCAGTGCATCCAGACTGTGGGGCTGAGGAAGGCTCTGGATTTCATCCCAGGCCTCTTGGATGACTGTCTTTAAAAAGAGAAAAGAACATCCACATTCCATAGAGCAGTGGGCAAGAGATGTCATCCAAAGCAGAAACGCAAACAGCCAGGACTCTTTTATACAAGTTCGCCCTCACTAGTCACCAGAGGAGTGCACTTCATACACTGCTGTCCCTTCGTTCAACGCACATTTGGCACCTGCTGTGTACCTAGGACTCTTCCAAGGGCTGGAAGGACAGACCCTGCCCTGTTTAGTATGTGGGGTGCAGGCAATAAAGAAGGTAACGTTTGATGGATAGAGACTAAAGAGAGAGAGAGAGGGCTGTGGGGGATTGCTGAGCAGGGGCCTGGGTTTTGCATCTTGAGATAAGGGTCCCCTGTGTGGCCAAGGGCCCAGGCAGGAGGCCCTCTCTCTCAGGAGACACTGGACTCTGTCCCGTAAGGCTGCTGAGTCCTGGGCCTGGTGGGGGTGCTATCCCCTGGACCAGGGGTCTCCAGGCTGTTTTAGCTGTAGAGCAGCTGGTTGACATGAAGTCTTGGTCCTTTAACTGGCCTGGGGCCCAGAGTACTGGTCCCCCACCCATGGGGCCAGTGGGGCTTCCACGTTGTACTGAGCTCCCCACCCTCCCGAGTTTGTGACAGCAGGAGCAGAACCTGCCTTCCACGTCTTTGCAGCCTTGGCTCAGACCCAGGGCCTGGCTCTGCAGGCTGCCTGTAGATCTGTTGTCTTGTGTCACTTTCTCCTTGAGACCATCGTAGAGTCACCTGCAGTTGTGAGAAGTGATGGAGAGACCCCGGGTGTCCTTTACCCGGCTTCCCAGTGAAAACATCTGCTAAGACTCAGTGCGTTATCACCAGCAGGAGACTGACCCCGTGCCCAAGCCTTCCAGACACCACCAGTTTTACAGCACCCGTGTGTGTGTGTGTGTGCGCGCGTGTGCGTGCGTGCCTGTGTGGGCGCAGGTCCCTTCCGAAATCTGTATTGACCATTGTCCTTGTGTGGAGAGCCTGCCTTGTTCAGGGCAGCAGTGAGACGGCAGGTCCCACCTCCAGAAACGTGGCCTGAGAGCCCCAACCCTAACCTCTGCCCCGGGGACCCAGCTGAGGGTCCTTCCTGCAACTGGGGACCCAGAATCCTCAGGGCAGTTCCGGTCCTGACTCTCCCACGTGCTGGCCGTGTCGCCTGTGGTTTCCTTGGATGTGGTTGAGGGGAGTGCTGTCCTGTGGTCAGTGCGAGGGCCCAGGATGATCAGGCAGGGTTGTGACCATGGCTCTGATGAAGCCCTGTTTTCCCTCTGCTGCCATGCCCTGGGGGTTACCTGGAATTGTTTTTTCCCTCCTAGTTTCCTTACGTCACCCCTGCCCCCCATGAGCCTGTGAAGACACTGAGGAGCCTGGTGAACATCCGCAAAGACTCTCTCCGGCTCGTGAGGTAACCCTTCCCCCCCCCGGCCCTGTGCCGCGCTGTGGCCCCCCATGGGCCCCCTGGTGCTTGGGAGAGAGTGGCCCCGGGCCCTACTCCCCCTTGTGTAGAATCAGGACTCAATGCCAGAGCTGCCCCTGGGGGGCGGGGGGGAGGGGAGGGGCCCGCAGTTTCTGCCTGTGGAACTCCAACCTTAAGCTGGGCCTCAGCCTGGCGCCTGTGCCCCAGGGGTGTTGGGCTGGGTCTGGAGACAGTCTTGGTTGTCACAGCTGGGGGTGGGCGAGGGCGGTGCTACTGGCATCTGGCAGGCAGGGACCAGGGATGCCGCTCAGCACCCTACAGGCGCTCAGCACACCCCCACTGCCTTGAGCAGTCCAGCTGGCGCGTCAGTGGGCTGAGAAACCACCTCAAACCCAGAAGACTTGAGGGATCGGGGCCATTTCTAAACCCAGAGGACTAGTCTCCCTTTCTGTGGGCAGGAGACAAGGGAAGGAGGACCCTGCGTTGTTGGGCCTCATTGTTCAAACAGGGAACGGCCTCCACGTTCCTAGGAACGTGGGATGCAGCCAGGCAGCTGATTCTGGGGCCCCCGCGGGGGCGGGGGTGCTGTATAGGGTGGGGATACCCTCGCAGGCGCAGCCCCTGACCTGCCCTGTTCCTTGCTTCCTGGGCAGGTACAAGGACGGTGCTGACAGCCCCACTGAGGACGGCGAAAAGCCCCGAGTCCTCTACAGCCTGGAGTTCACCTTCGATGCCGACGCCCGGGTGGCCATCACCATCTACTGCCAGGCAGTGGAGGAGTTCCTGAATGGGACGGCTGCGTGAGTCCCTGTGGGGCCTGGCAGGCCTAGTGGTTCTGCTTCTGTCTGTATTGTATATTTGAACTTTCAGAGCTTTGATTTGAAATAGGGCCCTGCTGGCCCCAAAAGTTTGAAATCTGCAACTTCAGCACGACCATGGCAGGCCTGCCTCCAGGCTGTAAGGCCAGACCCAGGCAGGATGGGCAGAAATGCACCCACTTCCGTCCTGTCAGAGGAAACCCCTCGGAGGCCAGATTTGATCCGGGGGTGGAGTGGTGGCTGAGAGCTCGGTCTGTGAGTCCCTGTTCATGTAAGAGCAGCCTCTCCCCCAGTGTCAGTCTCAGGCCGGATGTGCCAAGGCCCTCGAGAGTGTCCTTTGTCCTAGAGACTGAGTGAGGCCCCAGGGACAGCAGGTGTGGGGAGGTGGGTGAGGGTCCTGGGTTAGATTCCTACATAGGGAGATGCCAGAGCCTACCGGGATTGAAAATGTGTGTGCTGCTTGACTCAGCCATTCCTTTCCTGGGAATTTATCTTGGGGACATGCTTGCATGTGTGGTTAAGATGTGTGCAGAGGAGAGTCCTGGAAGCTTTGTTTGGAATAGCAAGATGTTGGCGACCGCCTGGTGTCCACCAGTGGGGGCCTGGTTGAATCAATTAGAGTAAAACTGCGGTGGAACCCATGCAGTGTCCCAAGAACACGGCACCTCCATCTATGATGACTGTGGGACAGCTTCGGGCTCACGAGTGGTCGGAGCACATTGTAGGTGGACTGCTGTTTGAATATTAAAGAAGAAACACCTGCTCATACAGGCGTGATTATGCCTCAGCTTTCCCAGGAGTGACACACGGGTTGTGGACGGGGCAGAGAAGCAGGTGGCTGGGAGCACGCGTGAGGCCGGGGCTGGGGGTCACTGTGCACTGTGCATTTTTGTACTGTATTCATTCAAAAATGTCAACAAACCACAAAAGCCTAATGGAAAGGTGTAGCCAAGTCTGGAAAGGTAGCAGTAATTGGGCAGGTATGGGCTCTGGGAGAATGGGATGTGGCAGAGCGTTTGTCTCACTGTCCTTTCTCTCTCGGCCCTTCCAGGTACACCCCGAAGAGCCCGGCCCTGCAGTCCGAGACTGTCCACTACAAGCGGGGGGTGAGCCAGCAGTTCTCCCTGCCCTCCTTCAAGATCGATTTCTCAGAGTGGAAGGATGATGAGGTAACATCTTGGCTGGGCCCCCCTTTCCCCTGGCCCCTCCCCGAGTTCCTTCCCCTGGAGGGGGGCAAGCACAGTGGGGCCTGTTCACTCAGATTCCTCACATGGTTGATAAGTGTCAGGAATGGCTGCTGACCAAGGTCTGTGTGCCCAGTCGGGGTACCTGGACTGTGGATTGCGGTCGGTGCAGGCATTGGCTGGACTGGATGATCGTGGCCGGACGGAGCAGCAGCAGTTAGAAGCTCCGTATGGGCTCTGGTATGGTTGTCAGGGCCACGGGGCTGCAGCTGGCAGGATGCCTCCCACCCAGTGGTTCTGTAGCTAAGGACAGTGATTTACACGACGTGGAGGGTGCTCACTGTAGCTCTGTCTGTAATAGTAAATTGGAAACAATCTACATGTCCATTACGGAGGTATCGCTTGGTTCACTGACATCTTGGGAACCCCCTGTGTACATAGTGGGGGCACCATAGTCCAGCTCCGTTCTGGGATGTCGTGAGCCTTAAAGTAGCTGACAGAGCTTATGTCTGCTGTACATGCTGAGGTGGAAGCACCTCCTGGGCTTGGAGAAGAGCACATTACAGACAAATACCTTGTAATCGCACATATGTGACAGCCACAGATGTGCACAAGACCACTTCTGCAGGTACATGTATGTGTACATAATCCTTGAGGAAAAGCCAGAGAAGATTCCCCGTCAAGCTTAAGACAGTGGTTATTTCTGCAAAGGAGCTTGGTATAAGGGAGACACACACATACGCACTACATGTGTACAGTGTATCAATACTGTGTACACCCCTGAATTATTTTGTTTTTTTAAAAAAAACAGGTTATTAATGTAGAGTTTATATATCATAAAACTCACCCATTTTAAGTGTTCAATTCAGTGATTTTTAGTAAATCTGTGATCACAGCCATCACCACAATCCAGTTTTAGGATGTTTCTGTCCTCCCGATAGGATCCCTCATGCCCTTTACAGTTAATCCCTGTTCCTGCCCCAGCCCCTGGCACTAATCTGCTTTCTGTCTCCCTGGATTTACCTGTTCTGGACATTTCATATGGATGGAACTGTACAGTATGTGGCCTTTCATGTCTGGCTTCTTTGACGTAGCTGAATTCTCTAGTTTTTTTTGACAGAGGGTAGTCATGTATTATGTTACTGAAATACATGAGTGGGAAGGATTGGAGGTAGCAGGGTATGGTGTAGTGTGGGAATTGCCAGGAAGGTTCTGGATCATGGGTATGTCAGACGGTGAAGGCCACGCCCTGGTAGTTACTCCCGGCCGCATGCGCTTGCTGGTCAGAGCGCTTTGATGTCGAGCAACAGGAGCCCCCTCTGTTTTACCACGTGAGAAGGACAGGTCTTCTGGAAGCCGGGTGGGGCCATCGAAGTCAAAGGCCAAGCTGAATAGCAGTCCTGGGGGCCCCCTGCCCACAGCCCCGTGCCATCAGGATGGTTCCGTCCCCGCGTGCACGCATTCCCGGTTCAGATGCCCGGCCGGTGCATCTGGTCCCACCCACCCTCCTGTGAATGGGATGGGGCAGCTCCCCTAGGGCAGAGGGGCTGGGAGGGCAGGTGAGTGGGTGCCCCCACCTATAGTGACTGCAGGGCGGCTGAGCTGAGGCTGCACCTCAGCTTGGTGACCTCTGAAATAATCCAGTCTTGGAATTTTGGCCCTGAAACATCCCCTGTGCATTTGCAGATGTCCTGTATCACCAACAGTTTGGGTCACTTGTCCTGAGCTCACACCTGATTTGTAAGCCAGTCTTGGGTTCTCCACGAGGGCACCCCCTTTGCTCCCTCAGTGCATCAGGGAACCTGCGTCCTCAGCTTGTCAGCATGTGGCCTGGTGGGCCTGTCCAGTGTTGTTATCCTGGGACCCCGTCCTCATCTTTGCCTTTTCTGATTATCACTTCAGCTAAGATGTTCTTTTTTTTTGGGCCACACCACACAGCTTGCAGGATCTTAGTTCCCTGACCAGGGATCGAACCTGGGCCCTTGGCAGTGAAAGTGCAGATTCCTAACCCCTGGACCGAAAGAGAATTCCCACTAATATGTTGTTGAAATCGGCTCAGTTTTTCTTACAGGTGTTTTTTATTGTGATAGAATACACACAATATAAACTTACGTCAGTGACAGTGCATTCATAGTGTGTGACCACTGGGCAGTTCCAGGACGTTCTCATCACCCACAAGGAAGTCCTGCACCCATTAAGCAGTCACTCCCATTCCTCCCTCTATTAGATGTATTTTTATTTATTTTTATTTTTTTTATTTTGAGTTTTATTTTTGTCTGCGTTGGGTCTTCTTTGCTGCGCGCGGGCTTTCTCTAGTTGTGGCGAGCGGGGGCAACTCTTGGTTACAGTGCACAGGCTTGTCACTGTGGTGGCTTCTCTCGTTGCAGAGCACAGGCTCTAGGCACGCGGGCTTCAGTAGTTGTGGCATGCGGGCTCAGTAATTGTGTCTCACGAGCTCTAGAGCGCAGACTCAGTAGTTGTGGCACACAGGCTTAGCTGCTCCGCGGCATGTGGGATCTTCCCGGACCAGGGCTCGAACCCACGTCCCCTGCATTGGCAGGTGGATTCCCAACCACTGCCCCACCAGGGAAGCCCTATTACATGTATTTTTAAATGGAAACTTCATCAGTCATTACTGTAGCTAGGAAACGGCTAAGATTTGCCATAAATAGAAGGTTCTGGAAGTTAAGCTGTATGGAGAGCAGAAGGATGCTATTACGTCCTGGCATGACATCCTTGCCAGCTGAGGGCATTGAAGGGGGTGTTGGTAGGTGTTAGAGATGTGACAGACACTCTGGCACCAAACTCAGGTTTCTCCTTTATACCAGGGTTTCTCAGCCTCGGTGCTGTTGACATTTGGGTCCTGGGTCATTCTCTGGCAGGGACTGTCCTGTGCTCTGTGGGATGTTGAGCAGCCTCCCTTGCCCCTGCCTACCAGGTGTCAGGAATGTCCCTTGCTGCAATTGTGACAACTGAAGATGTCTCCAGACACAGCCAGGCGTCCCTTCAGCTGCAAGCATTGTGCCATCAGAGGCCTGGCCATCCTCCCTTTTTTTAGCCATTTTCCCCAGATTTGCCTATTTAAAGATTATAACAGTAATGTATGCTTATAGTAAAATGTTCAGATTACACAGAATCTGTCAAGCAGAATGCTCCCAGTTCAGTCTCCTTTTCCAGAAGTGACCACTTCTGACCATGTGGGGTGTATTTTCTAGACTTTCTCCTGTATGCATTTGTTTTTTACAAAAATGCAGTCATGCTGTACAAATATTATTTTGTAGCTTGTTTTTTTAAAACAACTTATCGAGACATAATTTGCATACTATACAACTCACCCTTTTATTTATTTTTTTGTTTCTGTTTTAATAAATTTATTTATTTTGTTTATTTATTTTTGGCTGTGTTTGGTGTTCATTGCTGCACACGGGCTTTCTCTAGTTGTGGTAAGCGGAGGCTACTCTTCGTTGCAGTGAGCGGGCTTCTCATTGCGGTGGCTTCTCTTGTTGCTCTGGGCACACAGGCTTCAGTAGTAGTGGGACGTGGGCTCAGTAGTTGTGGCTCACAGGCTCTAGAGCACAGGCTCAGTAGTTGTGGCGCATGGGCTTAGCTGCTCCGTGGCATGTGGGATCTTCCCGGACCAGGACTCAAACCCGTGTGCCCTGCATTGGCAGGCGGATTATTAACTCCCGAACCACCAGGGAAGTCCCCAGCTCACCCTTTTAAAGTGTATAATTCGGTGGTATTTACTATATTCACAGAGTTGTATAGCCGTCACTACTGCCTTACCTCCAGAACTTTTTTGTCATCCCCAAGAGAAACCCTCTACCCACTAGCAATCACTCCTCATTCCTCCCCCAGCCCCTGGCCACTGCTCATCCACTTTCTGTCTCTTTGGATTTGTCTGTTCTGGACATTTCTCATAAACAGAATCAGACACTATGTGACCTTTTGTGCTGGCTTCTTTCACTCAGCATCATGTCTTCAAGGCTTGTCCAGGTTGTAGTATGTATTGGTGCTTTATTCCTTTTTATGGCTGAATAACATTCCACTGGATGGATGGGATCATATTTTGTTTATCCCTTCATCAGTTGATGGATATTTGGGTTGTCTCTGCCTTTTGGCCATCATGAATAATGCTGCTGTGAACATTGTGTGCAAGTCTTTGTGTGGATGTATGTTTTCATTCCTCTTGGTTGCAGTTTGCTTTTTAATTTAATTTAAATTAATTTAATTGTAAGACTTTCTTAGAGTAGTTTAAGGTTCACAGCAAAATTAAGAGGAAGGTATAGAGGTTTCCCATATGCCCCCTGCCCCACACATTCGTCATTTTCTTTTCTTACTGCACCATGATGTGGAGTCTTTCCAGGTCAATACCTACAGATCTCCTCGTGGCTCGTGGGGCTTCTTTGCAGTTTTCCCACTAGCTCCTCATGGGCTTCCGTTTATTTCAGTCAAAGCCATGTCCCCTCCTCCCCCACCCCTTGCCTATCCCCTATTTCCCAGTGTCCATCTGACCTAGGCCTTGCAAAGACCCTCGTCCATGGCTCCTCTGTGACAGCAGAGCCTGAGGGGAGCCTGGGCGGGACTCCTGCTGCCGTCAGCTGCTGCTCTCTCTCCTGACCTGGCTGCCTTTTTCCCTAAGAAAGCCTCACTCCCTGCATTAAAAATAAGTGTCTCCTGGGACTTCCCTGGTGGTCCAGTGGTTAAGACTCCAAGCTTCCACTGCAGGGGCATGGGTTCGATCCCTGGTCGGGGAACTAAGATCCCGCATGCTGCCTGGCGTGGCCAAAAACTAAAAAGCATCTCCCTCAGACTCTCTGGGAGGGTGGAAGTCTCTGTCCTCTCCCCGCGTGCTTGGCTCTGGGATGTGACTCATGTGCCAAGCTCTGGGGAGCAGGAATCTGGGAGGAGGTGGTCCTTGCTCCCTAGGTCCCTGTACTCTCAGGGTTTCCCCCCCACCCCTAGGTCCTGGTGTCTGGGGAGAGCGGGGGTCATGGTGCCCTGTCGTCTCCACCTCTGTCCCTGGCTCAGCACCGCGTCTTCTGTTGGGTTTGCAAGTCTGTTGGACAAATGTCACATGTAGTGTGCTGCCCTGTGGTCTGGGCACTGAATGTTCGTGGGAGGCGCCGGGAAGGCTGCTGCGGCAGAGCCCTCAAAGTGGTGTCTGTGTCAGGACTTCTTTGGTTGCAAGTGACAGAAACACCTCAGTCTGGCTTAAGAAAAGAAAATCAGGAACTAATTGGCATAGATTCTGAAAAGGCTGGGTGTCTGCAGGGGCCCGTGTCATCAGAAAGGGTGTGCTCCTGCTGAGCTGGCCTCGCTCTCTGCTGGCGCCCTGCAGACCAGTGAGAGGTGCGGTCCCTGCCTGCATCCCAGAGTGCTCAGGTGGACATACCATCCTCTGGCCAGGCCACACAGTACCAGGGTAGGAGAGAAGTTGTTCTCACATTTCCTCAGGGAAAGTCAGGGTGCTGCCACCTGAAAAGTGGGACAACAGTCATTTGCACCTTTGCAGTAGGGTTTGGACAGGGCTGGACAGGAGGCCCCAGGTGGGTCAGGCTTGATAAGAGCAGAGTCTCCAGGACAGAAGTACCAGCGGCATCCAGGAAGCAGTGATGACCTTTCCCAGGAGCTGGGAGGACACAGGTGGACGAGGCCTGGAGGCAACCCTGGCTCTGTCACTCTGTCTATGAAGCATCCAGCAAGTTATGCCACCTCTGCGAACCTTGCTTTCCCATCTGTCAGCTGGAAGTAGAAACAGTCCCTCCCTCGCAGGTGGCCGCAGGGGTCCGTGAGGTCGGGGTGCAGGGTGCTTACTTAGCCAGGCTGTCCATCGTGAACCCGACGGCCAGCGGGGCAGGAGCCCCCGTCCCACCTCCCCAGACCAGTGTCTTTTATTCCACCCATCAGCTGGTGCTGAGGCAGCACTCAGTGTGCAAGAGGGAAAGAAAATGCAAATCACTGGCAGCTCCTCAGAGCAACCAAGTCGCCACGTCAGTGCTGACGACTATATTCCAGCAACAGGCCGGAAGCGCGGGGGCGGCAGAGCCCGCACTGCTCCCCATCCAGCTCTGTCACCTGAGCAGCTCCCCTCCTGGGCCTGATTACAGCCTGGGAAGGGCAGCACCTGCGCATCACACCCACCTCAGCTTCGTCATCGTCATTCATCATCGTCGTCACCGGGGTAACTGCGGGATGGTCATTGGCAAGATGGCTCCCTGTTCCCTGGCTCGGGGTAGGGAGGGCAGAAGCAGGCGTGTGGGAGACCCCTGGCCCCGGGATAGCTGTAGGGGATGTGTGACTCCTGTCTCGGGCAGTCACCCCCCCACCCCGTGGGGCACCCCAGAGCAAGGCAGGAGCGGGGAAAGCGGGTGCCTCCCTCTCCCAGGTCCAAGTTTTCGTGGTGCAGCCCTTCTAACCTGAGGCTGTGGGTCCTGGGTAGGCCTGGACACCTCCGCGTGTGGATCTGTGCACACACGTTCCTACCAAGCCCCATGCCCCAGAGTCCCTACCCGACGTGGTCCTCCTGGGCCAATTCCCTCCTCGGCTCCCGCTGCCTGAACACAAGCAGCTCCAGTGGCTGGTGCTCACCGCGTGCTCTCTTGGCCGCCTGCTCGGAACTTTTGCGTTAGGATCGGGACCTGATGCTCAGGTTGTAGAGCCAGACTCGAACCTGGCAGTGCTGAGTATGCCATGTCCCAGCACTGGCCCCGGTCCGGCCCTGCCGCCCACCGACAGCCAGGGACCCGCTGGGCACCTTTCCCGTGGTGGGTGTGTTCGGCTGAGCGCCTCTGCCCCGCAGGCTCTGTGTGACCTCCCCGCGGTCCCCACTGGTGAGCTGACATGGAAGCTGCACCTTAGTGGACACGTCGAGAGGAGCGTGGCCTGCAGCCAGAGGGCAGCAGGGATCCCCAGAGGGACTTAAGCAGGAGGAGAAGGAAAAGTGAGAGGAGGTTTCTCCGTGAGCTCGGACAAGCCACGTGGTCTCTCCTTCACATTGCTTCCGTCTTTGTTGGGGCCGAGCTGGGCGCCTTTCTTCACAAGGTTAGACGCGGGATCTCCGTGGGACCCAGCACTCCAGTGCCTAGGGGTCCACCCAGCAGAGTCCAGCAGAGGCAGCCCCGCTCAGCACAGCCGAAGGGGGGCCTGGTGTCTGTGAGCAGGTGAATGGGTGACGGTGAGGTCTGGCCAGGCAGGGAGTGCTACTCAGCCTTAAGGGGGAGGCGCCTGCAGCGTGATGATTCTGCCTGAGAGACACCAGGCACAAAAGACAGATACTGTGTGCATCCATTTCTGTGAATGTCCAAGGGTCGGCCCGTCTACAGACGCAGCAGCATGGAGGTTCCAGGGCTGGGCTGGGCTGGGAGGCCCACTGAGGGCTGGCGAGGACGTTCCAGGAAAGATGGTGCTGACAGTCGCGTGACCTTACGGATGTACTTAATGACACTGAGTTACACTTAGAACACAAATGTGCCCTTTTAATCTGCTTTACCACAAAGAAGAAAAGGGCGCCTGTCTTGCCTCAGCTGTCACCTCGACGCCTCCTATTCATCCTACCCGCTCCCTCCAGACTGAGCTAGTCTGACTGTTGTCACCTCCTTTTCTCCGCAGCTGAACTTTGACCTGGACCGGGGCATGTTTCCAGTGGTCATCCAGGCCGTGGTGGATGAGGGGGATGGTGAGTGGCCTTTCCCTTCGGTCTCCTTCCAGGCGTGCACACTTGGGAAGAGGCCCTTCTCACCCCAGTCAGCCGGGTCCGGGGATCTCAGTCCAGAAACAGCGTACGACGTCGGCTCAGCCTGCTGGGCGGGCTTGGGGCCGAGGGGCTCGGGTGCCGAGCGCTCTGTCTCCTGCTCCTGGTGCCGTCCCTGCGCCCCTGTGGCAGAACCTGGCTCTCGTGGTGCTGACAGTGGCAAGACAGGCCTCTGGTGCTGGTGTCCACCCCGCAGTGGAACGATGAAGGCTGCCGGCGCCACGCTGACCCCTCGCCGCCTGCCTCCTTCTGCCAGTCCTGCTGGCCTCTCCTTGCCCCTGCTGTGGGCTGTGGGGTCCCGGGCAAGGGTGCAGACACCGGAGCCCTGCCCGGCCTAGGCTTGTCCCCGTGCCGAGTGAGACGGGAGCAGAACCAACCGTGGGCAGCCGGCAGTGGCTGCTTTGGGGCCGGGTGAGGTGTGCGGGTCAGAGGGAGCTGCAGGCAGAGGAGAGCGAGGCAAGGACAAGACCTCAGTGGGTCCTCAGAGGACCAGGCCCTGCCTGCAGGCTGAGAGCTGGGGACGTGCCAGCTGGAAAGAGGAGGCCTGGGGCGGGGGCCGGGGTGGTGGAGGCCGGCCCTGACCACTCTCCTCTCTCCCGGGCAGGTGTGGAAGTGACCGGCCACGCCCACGTGCTCTTGGCTGCCTTTGAGAAGGTAAGTGCCAACTTGCTCCTGATCGTGCAGCCAGCCCCTCATTTGTCATCGTATCCTGCACACAGTAGATGCCCAGTCAATGCTGGTGGGGTGGACAGGGGTCTGCCACCTGCCTAGTACGGTCCTAGACGTGACATACATACTCTCCTGGGGTCCCCGAGTTGGGGGTGCCTCGCATATAAAGAGACCATTTACATGGAAGGATTCATTTACCTTTTTAGCGTTACGGGTATTTGAACTTAGGTGTTTGCCCTTTTTTCCACCAGACCTGAGTCCCCAGGCCCCTGACTGTCGATGCTTTGTGGCCATGTTTACAGTGTGTGGTGGGGGTGTTGGCTGGTGGTGAGGACAGTCAGCCCCACCACTTACTCTGCATTAGGGTGTCTCGGGTTCTAGGGATGGTCCTCTCACCGGCGTCCAGACAGTTCCATGCATCCGTCCATGCAGCAAGCGAGGGCCTAGCTGTGTTGGGACAGGGTCCCTGGTCACTGAGAGCCCTGCCAGAGTAGTGGGGTGTGTCCCCTATTTGAAAAGGCTACGGCTGATCCCCACCTTGTAGTGTTCCTTGACATTGGTCGGCACTGTGCAGTTGTGTTTTTAGCACCGGCCTGTGGCCCAGGTGGATGAGGAGCACGGACCTCACGAGGAAACCAGTCTCAGACCGCTTGTTCTGGACGTCCTTCCAAGCCTGGCTTCCTCAGCCCAGGGTGTACCTGCAGCCCCGAAAGCCTTAAGTGCAGAGCCCATCTCCTCCCTGTGATCTGGGTCTTTCCAGATGCCCCAAAGGGTCTGTGGAGCTGGGCCTGAGGCCCCTCTGGCGACGTTGGGTCTGTGCTTTCCCTGGCCTCCTGGGGCCGTGGTGGAGGTGGCTCTCTGGGCTCACCAGTTGTGCTCCCCAGGCCAGCCTTGTCAGAGGAGATGGTGACTATTTACCGTCTGTGTGCTCTGGCAGGGCGATGGGCCGTCACTGGCAGACACTCCATTCTGTGCTTCCAGTGTAGAGTCCAGTGAGAAACTACCTTAGTTTTGGAGTGCAGCGTGCTAGAAACTTCGGTCAGAACCCATCAGCCTTATAGAAAATGCCAGGTGCTGGTCTCAGTGGACTCAGAAGGGGTATTTGGTGAGCGAAAGTTCAGATCTGGTACCGTGCTTAGCTGTGTGGACTCGGAGCCGTGTGCCTCCCCAGGTACCACCAGACGCATTTGCTCTATCTTGTTCTCACGACTCTCAGAGCTTTGGGCCTTCCTGGTACGTAAGGCAGTGACATCCTTGTGCTGTCTTCGCGATTCGACCAAGCCCTTTGAGGGCTGGAGCCGTCTGTCTTAGTTCTTGTCATCCAGGTGCTGCTTCTTGCAGCTGGGGAGGCACCTATCCATTGTCAGAACTTGGCTGATGGTGGTGAACTTGAGTGTTCTTGAGAACGACCCAGGGAGAGTTGGGTTTCGTAGGTCAGGGCGGGACCCAGGAGGCGATATTTTTAGATTTTCTGGGTAGTTTCGAAGCCAGGTCAGAGGACCACAGTTGGAGGATCCCTGGCCTGTCTCTCGAGTCTTCGTGTGACCCCTTCTTTTTCCAGCCGTAGGTGTGGGTTGACTGAGGACGGGCCTTCAGCATGGCCGAGTTAACCTCTCTGTCCTTCCCTGCAGCACGTCGACGGCAGCTTCTCTGTGAAGCCTTTAAAGCAGAAGCAAATTGTAAGTCCATCAGCGGAAATACCGTGAGCCCTTTTGATTTAAAAGACAGGCGCACACATGTGACCCAGTGGTCTCTGTGGATTATTCTCCCCGGGCCACCATGGCCGCTGTGGAAGTAGCTGGTGACACCACTACTGTGGGCCCTGGGCTCCAGGAGTCAGGGTCAGGGTCACTGGGTGTGTCCGTGTGTACTGCATACCCACCACGCTCCTGCATTGACCATTGTAGCCAAATCTTGTCCAGCTTGAACTTAGTGAGTGTTCAGTAAACACTTGCCGAGTGAATGAATGGACAGATGGAGGAAGAAAGGAAGGAAGGGAGGGAGGGATGGAGGAAGGGAGGGAGGAAAGAAGGGAGAAACACTGCAGCCTCTCCTCCTCCTCGCAAATTGCTGAGATTACCTCTGTGTTGGGCCAAGACTTAGATTGACTTAATCCATATTTGAGAGAAGGATGGAATATCTTGGAACCAATGGGAGCTATAGACCAGTGCAGCCTTTCTTTGGGGTCCGTAATTCCATGGTCTAACACCAGGAAGAATTATCCCTGGTGGCCTCCGACTTAGGTACGTTCTGTGAGGATTTAGCGGACAGAGTCCCCTGAAATGAGCCTGGAGACTGATTTAACAGCAGCCATGGAGGGGTCTGTCTCCAAAGCTGTGATTATCCGATTATCCTGTGTGTAGCTGCTCAGGTGTGTCAGCCACAACCCGGGAGTGGTGTTGCTGAGTTTTTTAAAAGAGGAGTTGAGAGAACTCTAGCAGGTGCAACACCTGGAGGTGGCAGGAGGGCAGGAGACCTCAGTGATGGTCTGGGCCCTTGTTTCAGGAGAGCTGACCGGCAGGGCCGTGGCTCTCAGGAGGAGTATCTGGCCCATAAACTGTGGTCAGCTCGAGGCCTGACTCTGGTCACTCTTGTGGGGCTGGTGACAGGAGGGTCCAAGGTCGTTTTCCTCTGGGGTTGGGCACAGTAAGGTGGGCAGAAGATGTGGTCGCCGGGTCCGGGTAGAGCTTGGCTCCATGCCCTCCGGGGCGGGCAGAACCTAGGTCCAGCCCAGTATCCTTGCTACCAGTGGGCTGGGCAGGTGGTGCTTCTCTCTGCCTGTCTCCAGTAGTGCCCGCTCCCTGGGGGTGGGGCTAGACAGAATCGCCAACCACGCCTGCCCCCCAGGACCCGAACCCGGCACCTGGGAGGGGTTGTCGGGAAAGGTGGGTGCAGAGGAGCCATTGAGTTGGGAGCAAGTGCCCAGACACCTCTCTGCTCTCCAGGTGGACCGGGTCAGCTATCTGCTGCAGGAGATCTATGGCATTGAGAACAAGAACAACCAGGAGACGAAGGTGCGTGCTTGTGGCACCGCTGGGCCAGGCTGGCTGTGCTCCCCTGTGCTCCTCCCAGCTGCTCGGAGGCAGGCCTGTGGGTGACCTGCTTGGGGCCCCTGTCCTGGCCAGGGCCCTGCAGGTTGGTGGCAGATGAGCCAGTTCCCTGCTGAGCCTTCCCCTGGAGACCCCAGGCCCCCAGACTCCATCATTTTTCCTTAATTTCTAGAGTTAGCAGAGTCTGTGGGACATTGTCCTTTTTCCAGCAAATTCACTGGCTTGTTATCATCACTGGGCAGCTGGCCATCAGGGCAGCATGGGGATGCCGGACCCCCTCCTGCTGCCCCCTTCCCTGGTGCAGCCTTGGCCTTTCCCTTCTCTCATCAGCAGTTGACCCCGCGCTGCACCCGTGGGCCGGCTCGCCTTCCAATGCCTGTGACAGGAGCCTGGTGGTCCACAGAGCCAAGGTCTGGCACAGCCAGGGAATTAGTCCATGCCTTTGTCATTGTCTTAAGACACAAATGAAACTGCTGCCTTTTTTTAAAAACCTCTGGGGTCTCAGGCCAGCTTCCGTGGTGGCTGGAACTGGCTGGATGCCAAGTGCTCTCTGCCCAGGTCACGTTTCTGTGTCAGAGGTCATCCGACTTCTCATAGAGGGCCTGGTAGTTAATGTTGTCAACCCCTATGGCGTCTGTCACTTCTGTTCATCTGTCTAGCACTGCCGGGATCATGCAGAAGCAGCCACAGGCATACAGAAACACAGGGGCAAGGCTGTGTTCTAGTAACACTTTGTTTCAGAAGCAGGCAGCAGGCTGGACTTGGCTGATCCCTGTTTTAGACTGTTGCTATCTCTTGATCCAGAAGCTACTTTTGTTTTCCAGAAGGTGCCATTACTTAAGGAAAACATTTCAACAAGTTAGACTTGCCTGATTTATTTTGGGGGGGCCTCACTGCGCAACTTGTGGGATCTTAGTTCTCCGACCAGGAATGGAGCCCAGGCCCCAGCAGAGAAAGTACGGAGTCCTAACCACTGGACTGCCCGGGAACTCCGTTGCCTTGTTTTTGTTGTTGCTGTTTTAAGCAAGTAAATGGGCAACCTTGGCAGACGCGAGTCTTCTCACATTTCCTCTTTGGTTCTGGGGAGTAGGAGACCCAAGTTCTCTCGGTTTGGGGAGGTGTCTTGGGCTAGGGGGGTGTCCTGCTCTTTGGTGATCTTCCTCTGCCCCTGGGGCTTCCCTTTGCCACCGCAGCCCCTAGGGGAAGTGGGAACAGGAAGGCCCCTGGCCTCTGGCCTCGGGAGCCACCGACCCTGGGACCCTCGGTGTACCCACAGCCCTCAGACGAGGAGAACAGCGACAACAGCAATGAGTGTGTGGTGTGCCTGTCAGACCTACGGGACACGCTGATCCTGCCCTGCCGCCACCTGTGCCTCTGCAACTCGTGCGCCGACACGCTGCGCTACCAGGCCAGCAACTGCCCCATCTGCCGGCTGCGTGAGTGGGGCGGGCGGGTGGGCGGGCGGGGAG